GTTTGGTTGTATGTATTTTTTACGGATTAAATGTACCAATTAACTTATGATAATTTATCATTGATAAATATGAAGGAGAAGATAGTGAAAAGCTAGTACATAAAAAATTTTCATTGAAGGACAGTTAAAATCCTTCAAAAATCTCGACCTCATGAGTCAATTACATAAGATTGAAAATCTTAGAAAGATTATTATTTATTTATCGTATGAGTTGATATTTATTATTATTGAGTACTTAAAAACCTTCGACTTGAAGCATTTCATTTCTGCTTTTTATAAAAATTAATTAATGTTCGTACATTACTTGTTCAATTAATGAAGGTCACATTGCTTGTAATTCGATTGTACAACCATTATTATTTTGTTTTGTTACAATTTATACTCTGATCAAAAAATTAACTTGATTTAAGAGCAAAAATCTTGAACCAAGAATACCATTTTAATAAGAATTATTTTTCTTGGGTCAAGAGGATAAATTCTTGACTCAATAATAACTTCTTGGTTTGAGAATAATTTCTTGACTCAAGAATTTATTCTCTGAACTCTAGAAAATCATTTTCTTCGAAATGATATTCTTAGTTCAAGAGTTTTGCTCTTGAATCAAGTTAACTTTTTTATCAGTGTAACTATATTTAAGTCGAATAAATTGGTCGTTTAATTCATAAAATCGACGTTTTTTTTCGAATTGTAAATTAAATTTTCCTTACCTTTAATTAAGATTTTCACGATGGAATCAATGAAAATTTTTTGGTAGCTTAGATTGAAATATAGTTTATGTAATTAATTGTTGTTATGATTTACTTATTTTCATTTAACAGCAGTTAATATCAATATCGATATCGACGTTCTAATTAGCGAATTGTCTAACTCCATTTCAAAGAATTTTCCAATTGTTCGAAAATACCATTAGTTCGAAATTTATTATCACTTTAAAAAACCATTTAATATTTAATAGAGGTATAACATTTTTGTTAGGATTATTCAAATAATTTATAATTGGATTATTATTATATCAAAATGTTAAAAAATCACCCTCTAAAAAATAAGGAGTTATACAAATTGCTAATTAGACCATCGATATGTATCTGTGTGAGTAGACCTTTTACAATTTCTAAATAAATTTCAAAGGATCTCACCAAACTTATATGTTCTGAGAATTTGAATCAATTCAGCACGGTAGATTTTGAGAAATCCCAAAAATGTTCACAAAAATGTTGATTTTTAAATGTCTTTTTTACTGGAGCAGCAATCTTTTGCGAAATTTAATCAGCTCTTAATTTTAAAAAATAACTTCAATTGCAACAAATCGCATCAAAATTGGTCAATTTGTTTAATAGATATCATTGTCGAAAAATTAAAAAAAAAATGATTTTTTTTTATATCATAATATCATTTATGATTTAATTTAATATATTTATATCTTTTAATTTGATTTATAATTATTTAAACATAATTTATAATAATTTGCTACTACAATTAATTTTTAAATGACTATTGGTACTATTACTTCTATTGAAGTTCATTTTCAGGATATTCAGCAGATATTTTATTGCATAATTTACACCAATATAGATATCATTTTTAAATATCACTAAGTTTCGAATTAACTTTCAATTACTAATCTGTCAGTAGAAATTGTGCAGTTTATTCTAAGTAAATAAAATTAAAATGAAATAAGAAGTGAAGGCTGACCAAAGCACTGCTAGTACTACTTGAATACCGTTTCGACTATTATTTAATCAAAAAAGCGAAGTAATTATTTTTCAGCAGCTTGTAGACTCACATCAGCTTACTCAGCGAGCCGTTAAGCTGATTAACAGTAATAAAACACCTGGTTCTTAAAAATAAATTCAAAAAACGGACGAAAGTAAATCCCCTTCGTTGCAATAAAATGAAGAAAAAATCTTAAAAACTGCGACAGTTTGAGCTAGAGTAGTGTGCAACAGGCTGCTTCATAACCCGTCTACCCGTCCTGACAAACTAGCTGCCCTCCGCAAATATTTTATCGAACTAAATTCCAATATTTTAGACACTCACTGTGTTAGGCTTCGGCGATGCTACCAGTCTGATGATAACAACAGGTACATCTATAATACACACGTCCGCCCATAATCCATATTCCATAGTCCACCCATTGACACACATCAAACATCATCAAATATATATTTATATTCGATTCAGCTGATTATTCTACAGGTGGGACCTTAGACTATCGATCCAAAACTTTTAATAATATAGGCAACTAGCTAATACCTGTCCGCTTCGCTGAGCATAGATCGGATTTGATTGTGCAACGGTTTTACATCGTCTGGCTGCTCAGAATAATCATTAAGACTGTGCTGAGCTTCTTTAAGAATATGGTGCAAGTTTCTTTCCAAAAATAAAATATATTTGTTATCCAATTCATTTAGCAGTATTCAGCAATCACATGGAAATGGTAGTTTTATTTCTATACACGGAGAAAAATTAATTATACTACCTACTATACAAAAATAGTAACTCCTACTATCTAAAATGGTAATAAAATTAATTAGTAACAAAATAATAGGTGGTATCATTGACAATTGTAATAGTTACTATTAATAATGGTAAAGATTACTATCAAAGAAAAAATAATCTAAATTTACTTAATTAAATCCTTTATTTAGATCCATATTTTAGCTAATGTACTTTTTTTTTTAAAGATTAAAAATTTTTTTTTTGAAATTTTAATTTGAATTTTATTGAAAATTTTGATTTTTTTCAAAATTAAAAATTTTTTTTCAAAAAGAAATGCATCCACGGTAATGCAGATTCTTAATTTTTTTAATATTTTTTTCTGCCCTCCGGCCGGAAAGTGGCAACTTTCTGGCCGCTGTGCTAAACAAAGTTGCCACATTCCGGCTACGTCGAGCAGAAAAATAGTATACACACCTTGGCCAGTAAAAAGTAAAGCCTCAGATCACATGTTTGTCAACCTCGGCTTCGCCTCGGCCAACAATTACATGTGATCTGAGACTTTTCTTATTTTACTGGCCTAGGTATGTAATATACTATTTCTTGCTCTCCTAGCCGAAAGTACGCTCATCCTGGACGCACTTTACTCCAGGAAGAGCAACTTTTATGGCCGGCTCTCTACGCATGCGCGCTACGCATATTTTCTGGCCGGCAGCACAGAGCCTCGCTTTCTTTCGTACTTTCGTGGTGCGACCGGCCTATACAGCGAGTTTCGACTGTATATAACAGTCACAACATCGTCTGTATGTAACATGTCAACACATAAACTAACCAAAAAGTGTCAAATAAATAAAAATAATTTCTTACTAGATTATTGTTAATGAACTATTTAATAATAAATACTGCACAAACAATTTATATAAAAATTTTAGAAAATAAAATATAAAAGTTTTGTAGATTTTATTTGCTTTCTTTTATATTTTGACAGCTAGTAAAGCGATTTGTTTATAAAACAATCCATGTTCAATCAACTTAAAAAAATTAATTCTGTTATTAAATCGAGTTTAAATATTTGTGACAAGTTCTGTGCATGTTATCTCTCTTAATCAGAGCGTTTGTTAGTAAACTTTAAAATAACTTATTTTTTTTTATTTATTAATTTTTACTTTTTTATTATGCCTGCCCCAACCAGTAAAACCTCGGCTTCGCCTCGACTTTACAAAAGTCGGGCGGCGCCCCCCTCACCCCCGGCAAAACCCCTTCCCCGGGGTTGCGTACTTTCGGCTGGAGAGCAAGAAAAATAGTATACGGCTACGCCTCGGCCATCATATCACATACGCCAGGAAATCCAACTTTCTGGCCTTGGGTCGTACTATACTATTACTAGCTTAGATAGTGGTTATTATTATTACTGATGGTAACTACAATCATCAGGTTATATTAGGAATTACGATTTTGATAATAGTAGTAACTAATTAAAATAATAACAGTTATTATTACTGATTAGTGATTACTATCATAATAGTAGTAGTTACCATCAGGATGGTAAATACTACAATTCAGATGGTTTACTTAATTATTAAAATAATATTTACTACTATTGAATTCAGTTAATAGATTTTAACATAACTAGATAATAAACTCTACTATAAAATTTTCTCCGTATACTATGGTGCTGGGGTGAATCTTCGATTTAACATTAATATTCATGAAGTATTTGGAGCCACCTTACACCGTAACTTATAGCCTGACCATAACCTTCTACTGCTTCGCTATTCGATTCTTTGGAAATCCAATGAAATAATGAACTTGTTATTTAATTGTACAGGGAATAGAAATAAAATTATAGCTCCTAGAGTAATACCATGTTGCCATAGTAGCTATTCCCCTTTAACTGTCTGTTTGATTGCTACTAGTGCCATCTATTAGACCGCTTTGACAGCAATACGTTAGATGACTAAATTAGTTATGTGGGATTGCTGGGAGAGCAATACGAGATCACTGTAAGGGCTATACGCTTCACTGTAGTCTCAGATCTCACGTACAGTCTTGCGTGTTGACATATTTTATAACTTTCAAAATAAAATGTTTATACCCATTATAACCACAAATCCATATTTCAATAAAATGATTGATGATTATTTACAATTTTTTTTTAATTAATCATTAGCCTAAACAACAACTCGTATCACTTGATTTGGCAGGAAAAGAATGTTTTATCCAGAAAGAGGGCGTTGTAAGAAGACAATTGAAAAATGTATACAAAAAAAAATTTACTTGAATCAAGGAAATAATTTTGAAAAAAGGTCATCTTTTTGATTTGAGTAGAAAAATTCTTAAACTAAAAAACTTTTCTTGGTTCATGTAAATTTTACTTGATTCAATAATTTTTTCTTTTGATTCAAGACAATGGAACTCTTCAAAATTATTTTCTTGATTCAAGTTAATTTTTTTTTCGGTGTAGTATAGCTATTCTAGCCATCTAAACGATCGCTTTAGTAGCCATACAATATTTCTTCTGTAGAAATACATATTGCTACAGTAACAATCTACAAGTAGATATCTCATGGATGGTTCCTTTGAATAATTAAGTAAACCATCTGAATTGTAGTATTTACTATCCTGATGGTAACTACTACTATTATGATGGTAATAATCAAGCTGTCGTCCTCAATGGTAGTAGTATTCTGTAACCGAACAACACACAGAACAATTTACACGTGGGACATCAGCCAACCTTGACTGTTAAATACCTGGAGTTTAACGCCAGATGGCATCACCTCTTCCCACTCAGTTCCAAGCGTGAATTCCCAGACTTGCGTGCGCATCATAGTCACAGTCGTTACTATCCACTTGTCCCCCTCTTTGGTCACCTCGATCTTCGGGTTGGACATGTTGATCATCTTCCTGACCAGGTAAGGCAGCTCTGCAACAATCCAACAAACATCCTCAATAATAAATAATCAATAACAATTCTAACAATAAGTTAGATAAAAACTTACCTAGAGTCTTGAAGTACTCGTCAAGATTCTCGCTTCGTTCATGCTGATACTTTCCCAGAATTTTGGACATGTTGGATCAGCTGACGCTTTACACACACTAGTGTTTTATTTCTGCCGTAAAGGAATCTTTAAATCTTCCGCTGGATATGTTAGCGAGAGGTAGGAGAAAGGTGAGAGTGGGAATTACGGAATCTAATCTGTAGATAACGGATTTTATTATCATATTCGTGTGTAATAAGTCGAGTGGAGAGAATCCTTGGAGACAGCTAACTAATCAAAGCCTGTTTGGTAATGTAAACAAAAGTCATTTATGTGGAAAATTTTAAGAGTAAAAAGGGTTATTATTGTTGATAATTTGACAAGACATGTTCAGACTCTCCAACGGATCCGTGATGTGGCATCAAAAGTTAGTGAAGAGCTTAAACTGGGTCAACTAATGAGGCTCTTAATTATAATGATAAGAGATAATTATAATTATAATTATTATGAAAGAAGACTACACTGTTAAAAATTTTTATTGTAATTTTACAAGAAATTTATTGGAAGCTAATAAGCAAAACATTTATTTAAAATTACAATTGGGTATAGTAATATTACAAAACATATATAGATGTCAGGTTACTAATTTAACAAGGTTGTGTAATTTTAAAAATATTTTTAGATTAGCTAAGTTTGTAAAATTACAATACTTTCCTTGAATTTAAATAATAATAAATAATAGTTTAAAAAAACTAAAAACACGCTTTTTATAAAAAACCAAACTAAACAAATGGTGTGTGTACTTATGTACACGCGTCAGAAGTTATACTTCTTTGGCATCCCTGGTGAAAATTTTTCGGACTTTTCTCTCAAAAACTCTGGAGAAGTCTTTAGAACTTAAGATAAGTCTTTTTTCAGAGTTTTTCAGAGAAAAGTCCGAAAAATTTGTACACAGGATATAATAAAAAAAATTTTAAAGAAAAAAAAATTCAAAAATTATCAAAGAAAAATGTTAAAAACAATCAAATAGGTTTTATTATAGTAAAAATTTAGCTATACCGTATAAATATAAAATCATTAATTATCATATGAATTTAATTCATTATTATTAAAGATTTTTCTAAATAAACTTATTTTGGAGCTTCAAAGTATCAATAGTTTACAATCGATAATTATAAAATATTTTAATTATGAAAATTAAGTTAGCTGACATAAAAATTTTGAGAATTTTTTTTTTATTGAAAAAATAATTAAAAAAAATAAAAAAAAATTTTCACTTGTAAAAAACTTCAAGAACTGTAAGTGCAATTTTTAAAAAGTATTTTTTTGTTCTAATTTAATTATTAAAGATAAAATAAAAAAATTAAAAACGTCGGCTAACTTTAGTATCATTAATTATTTATTTAAAATATATTATGTTTCTTATAAAATAATTCATTATTTATTATTTAACCTCATTTTTTCATCATTTTTTCATAACGCGCCTAAAGAAGTATAACTTCAATAAATATTATAAATATAAATACACAGTGAACAGAGGCGGCGTGCGTGCCAACATGCGACACTAACAGAGATTCCATTTCTGTTTTGTTGGTAGCATTTTTTCCTCAACTTAATGAGCGATTTAGTGGGCAACTTCATTCTGTTAATTTTGTGTCTTGGTGCGCGCGCATCGTAAAATTTCACTCTCATCAATTTTTCATAACGCGCCTAAAGAAGTATAACTTCAAAAAAGTAATGCTAACGTTAACGATCGTGACAATTTCACGTAACCTGTGTTACATTTCACGATGATCAATACTAATAGAAAAGTATTGATGTGCAACAAAGAAAAAAACGAAGCTCATAAAGAAACGAAAGACGTAATAAATTGTTTAGTAGAGCACGGGGCTGATGTTATTACACGATTTTCAGCAAATGAAGATCGCTCTTTTATAATCCATTACATGATTAAATTTGGTTTTTTTTCAGGAGAACAATATTTGTTGTATTGTAGTACCTTTAATTTCAATGAAATCAATTTACTGACTGTTCACTTCGTCCAATTTGTGAGTCAAGAGATAACACTCGGTACTATAAATTATGTTTATTACCTTGAACGTCTCAGGAAAATATTCTAAATCTTAATAAATTGAATCATCGAAGAAGTGATCAGCTCTCACAAGATTAGATTACCTGTTGATTAAAATACAGTATTAGAGTCTCTAGTTCATGATTGGTTGAGTTCGGATATATATAAGAAACAAATAAATTCATACGAAAATACGATCAAGAAAAATATACATTTAATAGAGCAATAAAAACTCAAATTAAAATTTAAAAAATCTTACAAAAGTTAAAAATTTCAAATTTATCAATCCTATTTGGCAATTAAACTTTTATTTATAAGCACACTGTGAAAAAAGCGGTCTTATAATTAATTTATAGAACACAATAATCATAGATGTTTATGCGATTAAAATTATGTAGCATGCAATCTAATACAGAATAAAAGTTTTTAAATGTTTATTATGTATAAATTAAAAATTTCAAGAACATATAGTTAAAAATTCTGACGTTTATACATGAAAGTCGGTACAATTATAATCTCTATAAATAAACTTGTTTTTTTTAAGTTTGTGCTTTGTGAGTAATAATAAATTAAAATTAAAAAATTAGAGATGTTAATGGGTGCTTTTATATTTAATAATATTCAAACTCAACGTCGCCCGTAAATAATTATGTTAATACCATTTAGCGCTTCAATTTTTAAGATTTCTATTCCATTAATTAAATTTTGTAAAAAAGATTGAGCAAACACCAAACTGTACTATGATAAAATTTATAATTTGTATGTTGTTCACGTTACTTTTCATATTTTCATTGAAAAAAAAAACGTTAGATATGCGTTAAGATTTCATGTTTACAAATATGAATTTTTCAAACTTGCTTTGAAATTAAAAAAACAAGTTATAAGTTTCCAATACGTTAATCGAAAGTTATAAATTCATTCTTCAGTTTTTAATAACCACTTGTATTAATTAATTTCCTCTTTTTTATTTCTTTTAATAAAAAATAATGCAATATCCATAACTTTATAAGCAAAGTCAATGATCGGTAATTTAAAAAAAAATGTTTAAATTAATTATTTCAATCATTAAAAAATAATTGACTTTAGATCTAATAATAGTTTTGTAAAACTTTTAAGCAAAAAATTACTTGAGTTGAGGAAAGTTTTCGACAATTAAAAAAAATCAGTATCATGGTTGATCCTGCAGACCATCTCTGAAACTTTTCGTTATAAATAAGTCAAATCTCTCAGTAAAATATATCAGCTGATAAATAAAAAAAAATGTAAAAAAAAATAAATATCAAAAATTGCTAAATAATCTTCGAAGATTTAAAGATTTATTTTAATCTCGTAAAGAAAAATTTTTAATAAAAAAAAATTATTAATCTAAATTACGTCCATTAAAGTCAAAACTTTTATTATTAATAATGAAATTATACCGTCAAGTAATGAAACAAAAATAATTTCTGTCCCGTAATTTAAAAATAATTCTCAAGAGAGTTGATTAAATTATTTTTTATTGCATGAGCCTGATCTATTAATAGTTATAATTATACCACACCTATAACCTCTCACCGTAGGTAGAGAATAAGATGATTAAAATGAATGGGTGTTTGTGTTTGTATTTGTATTTATTGGGTGCGAGTGTCGGGTATTGCGTCAGTGTAAGTATTGATGTATTTTACGTTGAGAACAAAGAGACTTGCGTTAATATAAATGAAATGGACAAACAGAGTAGTCAGGAGATGGCGGCCGGACGACCGACGCGACTCGAACGGCGATCGATGAAGCGTCGCCTGTACCTATTATTGCGGTGTCGTGAGGGTGGTGAGTAACTCTCTTTCGTCGACGTAGTAAGTAAAAGGGGTTGATATAACCGTCGATATAACCATGAGTACAAGTGTGGGTGAGTAGTCAGTACAAGAAAGGAAGAGAGAGTATTGGGTGTTTGGTATAACGAGAGAGATTGTCATAGAACGTTCAGGGAGTCCGATACCATGTTTTAACCTTACAAGCATGCCACGTCTCATGACAATTAGACTACGGTATTATTCGGTCTATAGGGCTATATGCTTTTTGCCATTAGTATGGGTATTAATACAGTACAATACTATACTCTGCTATATTATACGATATACGATACAATATAACCCGATGTAATATGAGAAATAGAATAACGGTAGATATAGTCTACAGGATAGATGTTAGCACGGACAATGTTAGTAGTATGGATGGCATTAGTATTGGTGAGCAGTATGCCAACTGTATACGTCAGCGATAATTTAAACGGCATAAGTCAACAGACCGAGTTAGCAGAGACCTTCCCCTTGAGATATGTCGCGTGAGATTTACTGGGATATATAGTATAGAGTTTGATACGCGTTTAACGGTTAATCTGGTGATTAATTGTGAGGCATATTAAGTATTTACGAGTCATGCTAATAGTCGGCAGCTTTGTTTTTTGATAACTTGTTATTATTTTTATATTTATTACTCAAGATGGTGTTTAAATGAGAATTTTAGTGGCGTTATTAAGCCAAACTACCACCATGTATTTAATCAATTTTATAGGACTAATTTGACGTCTACTACAGTACACTATAGCCTGCTTATATGGACAAAAAATAGTTCTATTGAGGTAATACCATTACACACTACAGCGTGTTGAATAATGGTATAATTTTTGCTATTTTTTATTCTTTTTTTTTTACTATTTCTCATTTAGTTTTAGCTGGGGGCATTTTCGAATGCTTTACTAATTTATTAATCATATTTACTAAACTATTTTTATTTTGAATAAAACTACTTTTTAAAAATTTATTATTTGTTGATTAATTTTAGTTTAGTTTTTTAAAGCAATATTAAGAAGGGTTTCTCTGTTACAATCACGTATAGAAGTAAACTTGTTATGTCGATATCCCGTAGAGTGTAATTTATACAAACCTCAAAAACTTTAACTTTGAAATTCAATAATTCCGAAACTATGTTGTTCACAAATTTCATACTACACCAATCGATCTGCCCAAATTTAAAAATAATAC